GACAAGCTGAACAAGTTGACGGTGCCGGCCGGGGAGAAGTTCCGGTAGGGCCTGGTCCGCTCGCGGTCTCGTCGGGGAGCGGGGCCGCGCCGGGGCTCCCGCGGGCGCAGAGCTCGGCGGGGGCGGGGGGGGGGGGGAGCCGCTTTCCGTGCCGGAGTTAGGAGGGATTGGGGGACTCTGAGGCACGAGGAAGTTGGCCGAAGTTTTAGACTAAAAGGGAGTTACTCCTGGTCGCCGGGGCGGTACGGGGAAGCGCGGAAGGTAAATACGGGTCTGGAGCGATTGACTGGAAACAGATTTCAAAGCCAAACGTGTGTCTGCTGCATCTGCAGTGAAAAGAAGAGTGTGTTTTTTTAAGTGGCTGTTTTAAAAAACTTTTAAGAAAATAGTCTTTGACTCAGTAAGATGTGTGAGGCTTATGCAAATTACAAAAATTGAATTAATTGCTCAATTGTTTAATCAGAGTGCCCTATGAAGATGACTTTTGCAGTTAAATTCTGTAATGTTTCCTAATCTTCGAAAGAACTGGTGGAAGAGAGGGAACTAGGAAATGGGAAATATTCCTAAGTGAAGGAGAACAATGTTAAATACAGGGTTTGAGAGGAAAAAAGCAGAAGCTGACCATTACTGAAGTATTTTTAGTGCGACTCGATTGGTGTTCTTGTGGAGTTGGCATCTCAAGGCTCTTTCATTGTGACATTTGTTTTCCTGAATAGTTAAAAGAAGTTCTGTTTCGGATTAAAGTATCATAGAAACTTTTTCTTTCCCCGAAAAATAAGAATGAAATACTGAAAAAATATTTTCTTCCTAAAATAACTCCTACTTAAGCACTCAACGAAACTTACGAACTATTCTCAAGTCTCTTTTCTTCTCTCTAGAAGCCTTCATGCAAATCAGAATAGTCCCTTGTAAAGCTAATTTTGATGGAATGGTACTTCTTGATATCAATGCTTTCCATACTGTTGAAATACTGGCAAGGAGGTGTATGTACTCAAAAAGCTGCAGTGACCCTTGTATTTCTCAGCCAAGCACACCTAATAAAAGCCTAGCAGACTGCATCCTACAGCCCAGGCAAGAAGTCTGTGGAAGGCTCAATGGACAGGGGAAAGCAGACAGTGAATTTCCTCATTGTCTGCAATTTACTGCCTTAAATAGTCTAAAACATTCTAAATGGTGTCAGGTCTCAATGTTGGTCTGAAGAAGCTACCTCAAGATAATAAACTGAGTGATACAATGGAAAGCTTGATGCTATCGAGACTGTTACTGGTATGTAAAGAAGTAAAACACACTCTCTGCATCTTCTGCACTTTTGCAAAGGATTACTTTCAAGTATACCAAGAGAGTCTACATGTGAGGGTTATAATGGTCCACAACTTGTTTGTGAACTGATTCAAAAGCCCTAGACTAGAAAGGCAGCCATCTCACCCCTGCTGCATCTTTATGCTGGCTGATGCTCTTCATCTTGTCTGAAGATGTAATATTGTTGTAAAATAAGGAAAAGGAGGAGGTAGCTCTGCTTTCCTGAATTATCTGGAAGTATTAAAAGCTACTTTTTCTCTCCTCTTCATGGCCGATTCACCTAGTTGTGCAAGGAACATGGGAGCACGCACTGCTCAAATGTGTGAGTGTTCTCAGTACACACAGTGGAAGTCCACGCACGCTTCGATTTAGGCAAGTCAAAATACCTCCTTAGACAGAAACTTGCATACTTGGCTACATGGTCTTACTACAATAACAGGATTTTTAAAACTTACAGCAGAACTTTCCATGAGTACATAATTCATAGAAGAAATTTAGCAGAGATGTGCAAATATAGGAAGGGATCAGTATAACATAGCAGCAGCCATTTCTTCCTTCTTTGAAACAGCCAAATACCCCGTTGCGCTACGTGACGTGAGAGTGCAGCTGACTTCCTAATGTAGCCTCCTATCTGCATGGAAGACACGTAGATGGTTCAGAGTTTGGACTGAATGTTACATGAACTAAATACTAGTGTTAAAAACCTACCTTCTTCTGTATCCCAAGATGCAATGCCGAGAAATATTTCTACCAAACATGATTTCAATTGCTGTAATTATAGTTCACGTTTTTCTTAAGGTAGCTTTCTTAAAATTTGTGCTTTGTAGCAGAAAAAAGTTAAAGTAGCACTGCTGTTGAGTCAGTGTCTGAGAGTAGAGCTTTTGATTTTTTTAAGTGTAGACCTGAAAAACTAGATATTATGTGGTTTTGCTAAGCTCAACTATTCTCCGTGGGTGTATCTGAGCCTACCAGACCTAGCCTTTTGTTGCATTAGCAAGTCTTATGTCAGATCTGAATTCTTAACATATTCCATTCGTTTATTGCAACAATAAGAACTAAAAATGTTCTTATGTGCCTCTCTAACTACCGTGTTGTGGTATGGCCATTGCTTGCAGTTAAGTCACTCGAATAATATCAGTTGGATAGGAATGCTGCAACTTCATGGAATTCCAGTATTATTTTTATATAGTGTTTGTTAAAAGGTATGCACAGTGTTATACAAGTATTCCCTTGGGGTACATTGTGAGTTCTAATTGCTTCCATATTATTAGGAAAAAAGAATTCCAAGGCTTGGTTAGTTATCATGACATAAATTAACTTATGTAGTGCATACAAAAGATTTGGTACTTTGAGTGGTTTCCTAAAGTGTGGAGTGAATATATGAGCAATAGCCATCCTGCCATGGCAGGCTCTAGTGTGCCTTGATTTCCATCTGAACTTCAGGATAAAATTTTATACTGCAAAAAAATATATACGTAAATAGATGCACTCAATCAGCGATGGTAGGCAGCAAAGGTAGCAGGAAGCTAGCAATTCAAAAGATACCGCACCAAACTCGCAGACTCTTTTGTGGTTCAACTTCCTTAGACTATGAATCTTTAAATAATTTCTAGCTGCTGTGTATGATTCTGTGATAGTATCTCTTCAGACTTGCTATATTTTTTTAGTATGACCACAAACGTTAATAATGAAGGTCCTTCTAAGTCCTGTTTAAAGGCATCATCACCATCACTGCTGCAGTCACAGGCAAACTGTGGCACAAACCAAAAGTGTACCACATGCTTTCACTTGCCTAAGGTCATACAGCCAACAACTTCCAGATTGCAAACAGATTTTTCCATGAGCACAGTTTCATGTTAATTTCAGATGACTTCATTAATTTGCAGCAGTTCTTCCCCCTGCAAAAAAAAAAATAAATCCTTAAAATCAGTATCTCCAACTGTAACTCCCAAATGAAAAGCAAGAGGAAAAAAAGCAAATGACTTTTTTTCCTCTGAGGTTAAACAAGTCTGTCAATTTACTTGCAATATTTTGTTTTAACATCCCTTGCTAAAGAAAAGGATTTAAGTCCTAATTCTACTAAAATCCAGAGGAGTTTCCTTTAAGGCCTGAATACCCGTTAGTTGTCTGTCAAATGTGATGTATACATCTATGGTCTTCACTAATTCTCTACTGATAGAGATAGCTTCACTGTAACTACGAGGTCTTTTCTTTACCAGAGGATTTTCTGGTACCGTTTCCTCTTGAAAGTGTACAAGCAGAAAATGAATTCATTTGGGAGTGAAATGATATTTAACTGTAAACTGATACCTTCTATGTATACGATGTTGTATCATAGGGAATATTTACTTTTTGAGAAAATGAATGGGGAATATCTGAACATTAGTTTTGCACTGTAAGAAAATACTTTTATTACAGTAGTTCTACTAATTCATGTTAATAGTGAGTTGTAGAAAACAAACTTAATCTGTTTTTTCAAGTCAAATTTTAACCTAGTTTATTGTATCAATTGAGTTGAACAAGACAAAATAACAAAAATAAACTCAAGCAGGAAAGAAACTGGAGTTTCAAAGTAAGCTAGAAAATGCTTCCCATGACAGAACTGGGCACCAAAGTCCACATCCAACTTTAATGTCTTTTGCCCTTTTTAGTTGTATAGACTTCGGAAGAAAGGCTATGCAAACACCAGTTACTTGTACACTGCTCAGTGGTCTAAAGGCCCAAATCAGAACTGTTCCACGCGTGAGATTTTTCCAGACCAACCTCTTCTAGCTTCTCAACGCTATCTCTTCTTCACAAGTCATGGCACCCTCACTTCTGCTCTTCTACCTCCTGCTGTTTGTCTCTTCTTTCTAGCGAAAGTCTAATCTGCCTCCGCCCTAAGGATGTAACAGCCAGGAAGGTCTTCTGGGACACCACCCATTGCCTTCTGTCTCAGCTTCCAGTTTCTCCTGACAGCTTCCCACTGCGCAGTTAACGCTGTGGCGTCAGCAGCTTTTGTGGCGCATCAACGTTTTAGCCCAACAAAATGTAGGCTGAATGTAAAATCACATGAAATCACAGTTCCATCTGTATGCAGTTTTTAAAGTTGAATTTCACAGGCACGGGAAAGGAGGGCACCAGCTACGTTTGTTGTGCTGATGTGTACAAACAAAAGTTCTTTCTGTAGGATTGTTAGGTCTAGTTTGCCACACAAAGCATGGGATTGTGATTAAATAGTGAGGCTGTAAAATCTCTATTTCCTACAGCTTTCTGTCAGCTTAAACAGTTCATGAATCTCTCTCACCTCTGGACTTTGGAATGGAATGAGATATGAAATGCAAACTTCCCCAAACACCACTGTAAAAATCCCTGCTTTCGCCCCTAGTGTGACTTCCCCTGTCAGATACTTCTGTTGCTTCTTCCTCTGCCCACGCTTCAGTATAGCAGAGCCTCCACCCCATCTGTATTTGTCCTCCTTTCTTCCCTTGTCTCCACACAAGCATTTCACGATAATAATCCCTTTCATGGGTTTTTTTTTTCTCTTTTCTCTCATTTATCATCCTTCTTTCCAGCTATGTCATCCTGCCTGGACCAATCTTCAAGCTGCCCTCTTGATGAGGAGAGAAAAAAAAACAAACAAACAAACAAAAAACCACCCCCAAAACCACTACTTTTTTTTTTAACTTAAATCACCATATAGTAAATTATTCTTATATAGAATTTCCTGCCTATGATGCTGTTTATAGGAAAGTGTGTTTTAAGT